AACAGCAGAGATCCTAGATAACAAGTCAATGGTTGAAAGTTTTGCTCAACAGTTCAACACAGTTTTTATTCATTAAAATTTTTGCCTACCACCACTTGTACAGTGCATCAGAGTTAGGAACTTAATAATTTCACAGAAGAAAAGCATTGATGAAGATGAAAAAAGATTCAAGTCCTGGACCTAGGGTTTCCATAAAGGTTTTTCGGTATCCAGGACCTAGGAGTCAAGAATTTGCCGATAACATTTTTATTAAGAATGAATTTTGTTTATTTTTTGCAAAAATAAATTTTTACAGAAATTAATAGATACGCTTTGAGCATTTTTTCCGTTAGACTGTAGACACAATGACAAATACAAGGTACCAATGACAAGAGACAAAAATATAATGAACACGTGTATCAATCCTATAGACAACCCAGAATAAATGGATACAGGATACAATTTACTTGCCGCCCCAGGATACAAAATTTCAAATTTTTGGTAGGTATCTCACAAGGAGAATACACACTCTAAGGAGTACTTATCGGCCTTGTTTTTGGTAATTGCCGCTATATTGGTGTGAAACCATTTCCGACGTCATTAGCTGTTTAAACAGTCTACGTCAAGGCGAGAAATAACATGCTGCCTACGTCACAACTGGTGTTTGGGCGAGGGGGGGATTTGTTACTCTTAAGTTTGTTACACACAGAGTCCTTATGAGGATAGGCCATCCTGTAGTAGTAGTTTGTACCATCCTTGGGTATCTCCGAGTTTTCCGGACATTGTACCGAATTCCGACCGGACTTCCCCGGACACCTTAAAAACCCAAAAATGTCCGGGTAAATCCGGATGTATGGAAACCCTACCTGGATCCTGGATCAGACTAAATTCCTACACTAATATTTCAAAATTGTAGGGAAACAGTTGGTGGTCGACTCCCAGAGGTGATGAAGGAGTGTATAGAGCTTGGAAAAATCCCGGAAAAATGGGAACTTTCTATAGTATGTAGCACCTTGATACAAGAAAGGCAAAGACACAAAACAGAAAGCTATCGACCCATAAGTCTCACATGCAACCCATTGAAATGCAAGGGAAAAATAATTCTGCAGCATACCCCCATCATAACCCTTGCAAAACGATCCACTAAAACGAACCTGCTCCAATGCGTTCATGATTGGACAAAAGAGTATGATGATAATGGTCAGGCAACAGATATAATTTACCTCGCTTATGAAAAAGCGTTTGTCAAAGTTCTTCGTGATCTTTTGCTGGGAGGTTGGAGCATTCTGGAGTACGTGGACAGCTGCTAGAATTGATAACCGATTTGTTCTATGAGTCAATGGTACATTGCTGGATAAACATCGAGTTAGCAGAGGCGTTGTTTAGGGGTCTGTAATAGGACCCTTGCTTTTCACATCATAGCTTTTTGATCTTGTCAATCTCATAAAAACATCAATAAAGAAATTTGCAGATGCTGGAAAACTTTATGCAAATCCAACTTTACATGCAGTGCAGCTTCAAAAAGACCTGCAAACTGTTAAATACATCGGGGATGAAATTGAATGAAGCCACGTGCACTGTTCTCAGGACAGGCCAAAACAATCCAATTCCCTCGGAAGAATTTTTTGAATAATCGTGTAGTTTGGGTACACTGGGATATATTCGGAATAAGCGAAATCTGGAAAAGAGGGGAAAAACAAATCCTACTGAAGTCAGGAAAAAGTATTATCACAAGTGTGACGGAAACAGCTCTGTAGGAGGAGTCGGACTTCTGATAAATAGGCGACATGTACAAAATATATTTGAGATCAGCAGCGTAAGCCTCAGAGTTTGCTTTGCAATATTGGAATCAAATGTCTCAAAAAATTTACCCACCCAAAAATAAGATTTTCTTTTGATTTCCTTTTTCACTTAAATAGACATTTTGAACTGATGTTAGAATTGTTTCTTACTAAACCTGCTCTATCGACTGGTAAAGTCAAAATTGAGAAATAATGGATTGAATGGATAATGTTGAAATCAATAACCTCAAAATGAAAATATAAAAGTATTGCAAACAAAATTTTTTGTACACAGTATTTCTTCAGAAATTTGGGCAGATAATATGCCATTTAACAAAACTAAATGTATGTGGTCAATATGTAAAGAAATCACTGGCAAAAGTTCTAGACAAACAGAGGTTGAAATAAATGGGAATCCAAATGAGATACCTGATAATTATAATCAATATCTATTATCAATATTTCCGGATTTGATGAGTAAATTAAACACAAAAACTTTAAATTGTGAAATAAATCTAAATAATGAGTCAATGTACATGAAGCCAGTAACAATAACAGAAATATGTGAATTTGGTATGCAGTTGAAAAATAAATATAGCAGTGGAGTGGATGAAATACCTACATGTATCATTAAGTTTATATTTCCACATATTGCTGAAATTTTGACTTTTCTAATAAATAATTGTTTTAAATATGACATTTTTCCAGATCAACTAAAGTTAGCATTAATTAAGCCGCTACATAAAAAGGGTGATCCAGAATTGCTGGAGAATTATAGGCCAATCAGTCTTTTGCCAGGGTTTTCAAAACAGTTTGAGCTTGCAATGTGTAAACGTTTAATCAATTTCTTTGATAAATGCAATTTATTAAATAAACACCAATATGGATACGTGTCTAACAAATCTACACAAATAGCAATTTTTCAATTTTCTAAAGCAGTTTTAAGATACATAGAAAAAGATGGTTTAGCACTTGGTTTTTTTTTAGACTTGTCAAAGGCTCATGACTGTATTGATAGGGAAATACCTCTGAGGAAACTGTAGGCATTAGAGGAAATTTTGACGAACTTTTCAAGTTCTATATGTCAGATCGAAAACAAAAAGTGCCGATATCAAGAAATGGACAGACATATGTTTCTGAAATTAGGGAAAACACATTAGGCATAGCACAAGGAAGAATTATTGGTCCCATTTTATTTGTGGTGTTTGTAAATGATTTGTATTCCATAGCAAATTCTGATACCGAGAACATCACATGCTATGCAGACAACACTAGTTTGGTGGTGGGGGCCACAAATTAGGATGAATTATTAATTAGAGGTAAAGACTTTTTTGAAAGGGTGGGAGACTGGTTTGAAGGAAATAAGCTTATTTTGAACAAAGAAAAGACAAAAATAATTTTATTTCGAACAAAATTATCAAGAGTCAGAAAGCCTGAGTTGAGGATCATTTGAATGTTGTGGAACACACAAAATTTTTGGGTCTGCATATGGACGAATTTTTTGACTGGGGTGAACATATAAATAACGTATTGAAAAGACTAAATTCAGTGCTCTATGGAATACGAATTGTTGGAAGATATTTAAGTGAAGGAGTACAAAAGATTGTGCATTTTGCTAATTTTTAGTCTGTCATGAAATATGGAATAAACTTCTGGGGTAAGAACAGCCTGATAGTAGTTCAAAAAAGAACAATAAGATCTATTAAGAAAATGGCATATAGGCAAAGTTGTAGGGATGAGGGTATATTAACAGTATTTGCAATATATATATATATTTGAATGTCTAATGTTTCTCTTCAGAAACAGAACAGAGTTTGAATTACAAACATTTCATGTATATAATACAAGAACATTGAATGTAAACTATCCAATACATCGTTTAACATTTACTGAAAAGACTCCATATTACATGTGTCTCAAACTTTTCAATAATTCGCCCAGAGAAATCAAAAATATTTCAAATGTAATGGTGGTTAAAACAAAATTAAGGAAATTTTTATTAGAATTAGAACCATACTCTTTAGATGATTATTTTGGATAAGTTATACATATTGTTTTGCCTTTCTGTGACACTATTTATTTTGTGTTTATATATTTGATGTATTGTAACACAATTTTTAAATAAAGAGTTTTTGTATTGTATTGTATTAACTCATTGACACTTAATAATTTTGGTTAAGATTGGAAATTTGAAATAAAAACTTCAAATCCTCACTATCCTAAAAGTACCTTATGGTTTACCAGAAAAACAGAGGAAAAAGCATAAAAACATAAATATGATGTAGGGGATCATAAACTTATTAGAAAGTAGTAGGAGACAGCTGTAATTGTTAAAAAACATCCAGCTGGAAGATCAGACTGGATTAAAGATAACTTTAATGGAATTAAACCTAGGCTAGAATCACATTCACTGGTAAACTAACTTGTAACCAAGCTTGTAACAGAGTGAAAATAATCCTTCGCAGATGTTAGTACATAAGCCTGACAATGAAATTGTACAAATATATTAGTTGGAAATATTTTAAACCCTATACAAGAACAAAAAAAAAATTCTCGGAAAAATTCAAGGGAATTGAAATCACGTGGTAAAGTGTTATAGAACAAAATTAGGTGGAGTTTCAAAACATTTTAAATTGTTGTAATTTTTAATAAGAGTTCTTATTGAAATATCTATCATTACAAGATAAACAACTTGCGCAATAATGAGGATTCAAAAATATATAAAATAGTATCACACACATAAGTAGGTAAGTATTTTCCGAGGTATTATCCTTATTCTCAATTTCAATTTAGATCATAATCTTTTTTCCTCGTCTTTTGATTGTTCGTAACTGAACTTTCTCCAACATGAGCGGGATTTTAGTTTTTCCTTAAATAATGGTTAACAAAATCTCAATTTATCCTCTAAAACGAAAATTCACTTAACTGAGGGGGAAACCCCCTTTCAAATTTCATTCAGAAACTTCTATCATTTGATGAATATTATCCCTATTTCCTTGAATTTGCTTAATAATTGTTCATATTATCCTCCTCTGGTCTTCCTAGGGGGCGGAGGAAGAAATTTTGATATCCTAACTAATTTACTGTAGCTTTTTTCATGTTGAATCAGATTTTGTTGATTTAAAGATTTGTTGACCACAATCAGAAACCTAACAAAAACTGGACCAGACAATTCCATAATAATCCAGATCAACTCTCATTGAAAACTGAGATAAAAACCATCAATCAGTTAGTACTTACCGCTCATATTCAATTCAGGCGCCACCAGCTCGTTCAAATCCGGTTCCTCTCCATACCAAAAAATCCACAACTCCTTAGCGCTAGCCAAACTCAAAGGAGGCGGTTGCGCGGGCGGCGGCGGCGGTTCGAAAGCGTCGGCGGGCGGTCGCGGGCCGCCCCAGACGCGCCGCCACACGCACAAAATGTCGGCGGCCAGGCACCGGGCATAACTGCGCAGCACCGGATCGTCCAACGGTTCGCCGGGTACGTGATGGTGGTGATTCGGGTGGTGGTGGTGGTGGTGGTGACCTGGACCGTGACTGCCGCCGCCCGGTTCCGACCAGGTCAGCTTACGCCATTTGATGCCGGAGAGCTCGGTCTGGAACAAAGAAAATTTCGTTTGATTTTAAATGCGACCTTTGTAATTGTTTTGTAATTTTAGAACAGGCTTAAAATATCTCTTGTTGAATGAAATAGTGTTATATGGGGAGTGTCTGGGTTTAATGCATTCGTTAATCACTAACTTAAAATAGAAGTCAATTTCCATTAAAAGTTGCACTGAATTTTAGGGTATGCCGTTAAGTTGAAATCGAGACATAAAATTGCGTTTCAGTCTATGACCCACTAATTTTTGTTTTGTCCTAGATTTGCTACAGCAAAACAATCAACCGTAACAATACAAGAAAATGTTACTGCAATATTTGTACCGTTTTGTTTTGTTACAAGTCTTATGACCGTTTTCACCATTGACTGGTAAATTATTAGATTATCATATTGATTGTTAGATTATGCAGTTAAGAGATATGAGAGTTTGGTTAAGTAATCCTCTGTTCAATTTTGGGATGTTTTTTTTTTAGAGAAGGTTGTAATTTTTAAATATACTAGATTTTTTTGGGTTGACTCTCTCATAGATCTAGAAACAGACTTTTTGCAGCGGTAAACGAGTAAACTTTTCTGTTTCTACTCCTTAAAACAAACAATAATTATGATTATGTAATGGCAAACTGTCCCTTGCATGAGATTTTTTCTTGAAGATCTCCAAATAAACTTCGTTTTCTTGAACAAGAAGATCAGACCGGAGTACCACAACTTGCCTTCTTGACTGTCTTAACAACTGGACAAAATCATAGATCAAAAAACTCCCATTGTTGTCATATACTCATATTTTGCCAAAGCAATTGACCGAGTCCCAAGTCAGAGGCTTCTGCCAAAAACTGGATCATTTTGGTGTGAGGGGGATTTACTGTTTTGGACCAAGGACTATCTCACAAACAGGGAGTACCAAGGGGCAAACCACCTAGGAATTCTTTACCAAAAATGTGGGAAATTTAGAGAAATTTGAAGGAACTCATCTAGGGATTTTGGGAGAATTTGTGAGGAATTTATGAGGAATTTAAAGGAAATTGCAGGGTCATGACGTCACTGAAGTTCACATTCTTATTAAGTAGGTATAAGAAATAGTAATAAATGGAAATTTTAAAAAAAATCTAGTGAGCTTCCCACTTTCCTCTTTATATGCAAAAAGTTTCAAAATTCTCCCTTCACTAGTTTTCCAGGAAAACTTTGAAATATATGAGACTATATTTTCAACTAATTTAGTTTTTGTAGGTTAACTTCCAAGATTTTTCATGTTGCTGTTTTCCACTGGAAAAATTTGAAATTTTGTGTAAATGAGCTTCTCACCTTCCTCTTTCTTTATATTCAAAAAGTTTCAAAATTTTCCCTTCTCTAGTTTTGCAGAAAAACTTTGAAATATGTGAGACTGTATTTTCAACTAATTCAGTTTTTGTAGGTTGATTCCCAATATTCCTCATGTTGTTATTTTCCACTGGAAAAATTTGAAATTTTGGGAAAATGAGCTTCTCAGGTTCCTCTTTACATGCAAAAAGTTTCAAAATTTTCCCTTCACTGTTTTCCAGGAAAACTTTGAAATGTGTGAGACTTTATTTTCAACTAATTCAATTTTTGTAGGTTGATTTCCAATATTCCTCATGTTGTTATTTTCCACTGGAAAAATTTGAAATTTTTGGAAAATGAGCTTCTCAGATTCCTCTTTACATGCATAGTTTCAAAATTTTCCCTTCAGTAGTTTTCCAGGAAAACTTTGGAATGTGTGAGACTGTTTTCAATTAATTCAATTATTGTAGGTTGATTTCCAATATTCCCCATGTTGTTATTTTCCACTGGAAAAATTTGAAACTTCGGGAAAATGAGCTTCTCACCTTCCTCTTTACATGCAAAAAGTTTCAAAATTTTCCCTTGTCTAGTTCTCCAGGAAAACTTTGAAATATGTGATACTGTATTTTCAGTTATTGTAGGTTGATTTCCAATATTTCTCATGTTGTTATTTTCCACTGGAAAGTTTGAAATTATGGGATAATGAGCTTCTCAGGTTCCTCTTTACATGCAAAAAGTTTCAAAATTTTCCCTTCACTAAATTTCCAGGAAAACTTTGAAATGTGTGAGACTGTATTTTCAACTAATTCAGTTTTTGTAGGTTGATTCCCAATATTGCTCATGTTGTTATTTTTCACTGGAAAAATTTGAAATTTTGGGAAAATGAGCTTCTCAGGTTCCTCTTTACATGCAAAACGTTTCAAAATTTTCCCTTCACTAGTTTTCCAGGAAAACTTTGAAATATGTGAGACTGTATTTTCAACTAATTCAGTTTTTGTAGGTTGATTTCCAAGATTTTTCATGTTGCTGTTTTCCATTGAAAAATTTTGGGAAAATGAGCTTTTCACGTTTCTCTTTACATGCAAAAAGTTTCAAAATTTTCCCTTCACTAGCTTTCTAGGAAAACTTTGAAATGTGTGAGACTGTATTTTCAACTAATTCAGTTTTTGTAGGTTGATTTCCAATATTCCTCATGTTGTTATTTTCCACTGGAAAAATTTGAAATTTTGGGAAAATGACCTTCTCACCTTCTTTTTTACATGCAAAAAGTTTCAAAATTTTTCCTTTACTAGGTTTCCAGGCAAACTTTGAAATATGTGAGACTGTATTTTCAACTAATTCAGTTTTTGTAGGTTGATTTCCAAGATTTTTCATGTTGCTATTTTCCATTGAAAAATTTTGGGAAAATGAGCTTTTCACCTTTCTCTTTACATGCAAAAAGTTTCAAAATTTTCCCTTCACTAGATTTCTAGGAAAACTTTGAAATATGTGAGAATGTATTTTCAACTAATTCAGTTAATGTAGGTTGATTTCCAAGATTTTTTATGCTGCTATTATCCACTGGAAAAATTAGAAATTTTGGGAAATAGTATATTACATACCGAGGTGGAAAGTGTTTCATTACTGTCGAGAGATTTCAGTTAGACCTCGGCTGCGCCTCGGTCTAACTTAAATCTCTCGACAGTAATGAAACACTTTCCACCTCGGTATGTAATATACTATTATTTACAATCATACATGTAATGTTGACTTTACTGACTTTTAAAAAGTTCGAAAATGTCACTTTTTTGACTTTTACTTTCGGCCCACGGGTCGAAAGTTTACTTTCGACCCGCGGGCCGAAAGTAAATGAAATTTTTAAAATTTATTGTATTTTTTGACTTTTACTTTCGGCCCACGTGGGCCGAAAGTAAATGAAATTGTTAATTATTGTATTTTTTAGCTTTAATCCAAATGAAAATTTCAAAATTCGAATGATTGTAAATAAAATAGTATACATACCTCGGTGAAAAGTTTCATTACTGTCTCGAGATTTCAGTTAGTCCAACTTAAATCTCTCGACAGTAATGAAACACTTTCCACCTCGGTATGTAATATACTATTTCACCTTCCTCTTTACACGCAAAAAGTTTCAAAATTTTCCCTTTTTTTAGAGGAATTTGTGGGGTATTTGGAGAAGTTCTTGGTGGGGTATTTGGAGGAATTTGTGATGGGCTATTTGGAGAAATTTGCAGGAATTTTGAGGAATTATGCGTGAAAAATTTCCCTTTTGAGGAATTGTTTGCACCAATTCTGGAATGGTGGTTTATCCCTTGGGGAGTACAGAGTCAGAGTTGGCGACTCATACTCTGAACTCTATCCAGTACAAAGTAGTGTATACCCCAAGGCTGGGTATTTGCAGCTCTAATGTTTTTATCTTACACTATAGATCGTCTCCACCTAATAATATCAACATTTGTGTTGACGGCATAAAAACTAATAGTTCCGCCAACAATTCTGACTCGCTCCAAAATGATTTGAGAACCAAATTGAGAAGTGGTATGAGGACTGGCAACTACCCCTTAATATGAAAAAATGTGTGCTACTCCATTTCGGGAAAAATAACCCAGAAAATGAATTCCATCAATGGGTCAGTACTGGTCAGTGTTCAGCAACACAATAACCTTGGAGTTCTGATAACCAATTATTTGACTTGGTCAGCATATGTGACAACAACAACTTATTCCTCCTAAAGGTTTCCCCAAACACATCCCAAGAAGCATTTAAAAAACTGTACAACATATATACTGCAGGCCAATCATAGAATATGCAGGTCAGACTTGGCACCCAGTCCTCAATAGAGACCACAATAGCCTTAAAGCTGTATAGAGAAAAGCAACATGATTGCAACTTGGTAGCAGAAGACCTACATATGAGGAAAGACTGGAAAAACAAAAACAGCCGAGCTTCCAAAATAGAAGAACAACTTACCAAACACTCCACAATAACATTCAGACACCTCTATGCTTTGAACGCAGACCAGAGACTCCAGGGTCACAGTTTCAAACTTAACAAAGAAAACTACTCCACAGTGTGTAGAGAGAACTTTCTAGAAAACACAGTTTCTGCCCTCTATTAGTTATGTCAATTCTAAGGCCTGAGGAAACCTCAAGGAGCGACTATAAATTCGGCCCTAAATAAAGATGAAATTACAATACAAATATTGACCAAATGATACCTAACAGACTGTTAAGTCGGCCCTTAGATTCAATCGGCTCGAAAGCCCCCATATCAATATAATACAAGCACTCAACTTAATAAAGCTAATAACGGTTAAAGCCTAAAAACACCACCTAAAACCCGGCCTCCCATTAAATACCTATCTGCAATCTTAACTCGAAATCGGAGCCTAAACTAATTCGATAACGACCCGCCGCCGAGAGTTTAGTCCTTCGATCAGCTGACGACGTTTCCGAACCGGCAACCGCGATTAGCCCCATAAACCGGTTATTACTCGCCCGCGCCCCGGTTGCTATGACGACCCAGAGACAAGGCAGACGCCAACCTGTTGATTGGTTCAGTAACTAACACTGTTGCCAAACTACGGGGGATACAGAATCTGCGGGAACAATATTTTTGGCCCATTATTTCAGGTTTCTTGTCAGAGGGTACAGTAGGTGACAAGAAGTATGAATTGATGCAACATAAAGACTTTTTCAAATT